TCTTATTCTGCATTATTTGAAAGAAGAAGGGTAAGCTAATATGGAAGTAAGCTTAATGGTACTGGAACGCACTTGCTACGTATTTTATAACTTAGATTAGGATAAGCTTAAGTTACTTGTAAGATTGTACTTGTAATTTACATGTTTGCCAAAGTTCCTTTACAATTTTATTTGTACTTTGCGCACAATATATATCACCTGTCGTACCTTGAAATTCAAAATATTGGTGATTACAAAACCACAAGGAACAATGCTACTCAGTTGTAAGCTTACAGTATATAGTACTGCAGCTAGTAGACTTGCCTATGCAATGAAGGTAAATTGATTGCTCTCTGCAGTGATAGGTGCATTATTCACACTTAGTATACTATAAAAGCTGTCAGTTGGGTTATCCCCAGAACATCACTGGTAACTAGTGCGCATAACCCAAACTACAAAAACATCTTTGATATTCTAATTAAGGTATCTGGATGCTGCCCGAGTACTCGAAAAAGAAGGTGGATCCGGTGTGACGAAATTTGAAGTCTGTGACAACGTTGATCTACCCACAATCCTTCAGGCAAGGATTTTGAAGTTGTATTGAAAAAGCTTTGAATTTACCGATGCTTATTTATAACTAGAAGAGAGAAGTGAATTGTTGTGGAAACAAATACATTAATATCGTAAATATTGTTTTTTCTTTTAGGAATATGAATCATACTACCATGTTAAGTTCAACAAGCAGCCAAAGATTATCAAGAAAACAGTCAGTAGTGGTAAGATGACTTATATTACAGAAAAAATCATTGCATCGCGACTTCTTTGTTTTGAAGTTTGTCTGGATTTTGTTCTTTCCTTCAATCAGAGGGGCAGAGCTTTTCGAAAACTCGTCCAATCATTTGGCTGATTTATATCAAGCTCTGCCCCCAAGTCGCGAAAAAAAACCTAAATCCCAACAATTTTCTTTTAACATTGAAGTCGCGATGCAACAGTTTCTGCTGTAATTACAAACACTGTAATCACTACACAATGATGGTATTAAACTGGAAGGTTTTGTATTTCAGCTGATGCAAGTAAAGGTCTACCTCCCAAGTTAAAATCCTTGTCAAAAAGGT